AGTTATAAAATTAAAACTTATTCATATCGCATTTTATCTTGTTTACAAACATTAACAAAATAATCTTACATATATAAATATTAATTTTTATTTATTTATTATTAATTCTATATAATATTAAATTATTATTTAAAGATACTATTTCTGTTTTGTATTTTTAATAATAATGATATCAATAAAAAATAAGTTTAAAATATAATAATCTAATCTATCTTAAATTAGTTTTCTATATGAATTTTATTTTAATTATATTATTATATATCATGAATCTTCTATATGAATTTTTTTGATATATTACATTATATAACTAGAAGATTATATTTTATTTTCAAGATTGAATTCTTTATATTTTCTGTATTAATTTATATTTTTTGATTATCTTTTTTATATTTCTAATAGCAAATCTTTAATAATCTTTATTATAATATTTCAATATTCTATGAATTTATGTGAGATTATAATATTATTTTATAATAACAAGATATTGATTAGTATATAAAATACTTATTTATAATTTAGTTCAAAAGATATATGACTAATTAAAATATTTTTGCTATTATTATAAGTAAATTCTACTGCTAATAGATTTTTATTTCATTTATTTTGTTGATAAGTAACATATATTCTTAATATTTCTTTTAAAATTCTGTTTAATCTTTCTGTTTGATTATTAATTTAATAATAAAAAGTTATTGATATAGCTAATTTAATATCTAGTTATTCAAAAAGAAACTTTCAAAAGCAACTTATAAATTTAGTATCTTTATTTGATATTATGACTATGAATAGATTATGTAATTTGAAGAAATTTTTAAAGAATATCTTTGCAATATCAGATGCAGGTACTGTTATTATGATTAGTATAAAATATATTCTTTTTAATAATTTATCTACAAATATAACTATAGTATTATATTCAGACTTAATGGTTAGGAGTTGAATTATAAAATTCATGATAATATATTCCTATTTATATTCTGAAATGACAAGTAATTGAAATAATCCTGAAGATTATTAATTACTACTTTTATTTTGTTAACAAGATTCACAATTGATAATATATTTATGAATATTTTTATTTATTTTTGACCAATAATACTATTAAGATACTGTTATATAAGTTTTGTTAATTTCAATATATTCTGCTATTAATATATCATAAAATTCAAATAAAATCTTTGTTTTCAAGATCTTGTTATCTGAAATGGCTAGATAATTAGTATTTTTCAAGTAAAGTAATTCTTTTTTTAACTTAAAATTTTTTACTTTGATCTGTTGCTTAAATATTATATTATTAAAGTTCTTTAAGATTTCATAAATTTCTATGAACTTAAATTAAATTATTTATTTTAACTTATATTTTATATAAATAACTTATTAAATTTTATTATATACTAAGAAAATTATAATTAAAATAACTTTTTAAAATTACTAAAAATTAAAATTTTTTTAAATATTAGATTTAATTTCTAAATCAGTTTAAAAAATATTATTCAAATATTTATAATTAAATTTTTTTTATACTATTCAAAATTATTAAAGAATTAATTTTAATTATATAATAATTCTTTTTATTTTATTTAATTATTATAAAAAATAAAATTATTTATAAATTAAAAATATATAATATAATTAAAGTATCTAATCTTCTATAACTTTTTAAATTGAAGATTAATTATCTTGAAATTTTCAATATAGATAATATAATATAAATCTAAATTCTATAAGTTTTTTTTTAATATATTTTAATTATTATAACAAAATTTAAATAAGAACTGAATTTTAAAATTAATTTTTTATATTAATAAAAAAATATCAATCAAATAAATAAAAAATAATTATATTAATAATTTTTAAATTAAAATTTCTTAAAATTTAATATATTAAATTTTAAGTATTTTTATATTAGTAACAAAAAATTTGATATAATTTAATAAGAAATATATTGAAAAATTAAAATTAAAATTTATTATATATATATATAAAAAAATAATTTAATATCAAAATTTAAAATTTAATTTTTAACAACTGGTTTATTAAATATATTAAATTTTATTATTATATATAATATAAATATATAAATTTTAATATAATAATTTTAATTATTTTAAAAAGTTTAAACCAAAAAATTTTTAATATAAAAAGTTGTAAGGGATCAGATACTTTTGACTACTACTATATAATTTAAAAAAATTTTTATTATTAATATTATAAAATTTATTATAAAAAATAACTTTATTATAATAGTTTTTATTAATTTATTAATAAATTTTATTTTTAATTAGCGATAAATAATTTTTCTTTAGAAATATATAAAATTTTTAAAAATTTTTTTATAATAAAATTATTGAATTATTTATAATAAATAATATATCTTTAATAAATTATAAATTTTAAATTATATTAATTATTTATATTTTATAGTTTTTAACTTAAAAAGAAACTTTTGAATAAATAAATCTAAAAAACTTTAATAGACAAATTTGTTTGCTAAATAATCTAAAAGTTAAAATATAGATTTAACTATAAAATATAAGCTTTATTTTATATATAAAAATAATTTATAAAAAAATTATTATTAAGTTTTTTCATAATCAATCAATTAATATAACTTCCATTTATAAATCAATAACAAAGATTTTTAATTATAAATTTTAGTCACATCTCTTTATAAGAACATGATTGGAAAATAAAAAAATTTGGTTCTTATAATTACATTCTTATAAAAAAAATAAGCTTATTTTTGAAAGTTTGTTCTTATAAGTAATTTGTTCTTACATAAAGTGTTCTTATAAAGCGAGGCATATTAATTTATAAATACAAGTTATATAATAATTTATCTTATGTATTTTTAATTGAATTTTCTTTATTAATATGAATTTTTACAATAGTTTTTTTTTTACAAAATTATTATATTTTGAATTTATTATTAGGTTTTGATAATTAATTCTTTGATTTACATAATTATTCTCCTATTCATTGCTTGTGAGCTGAGGCTGTGCATGATTTTGCGTGATGTAACAAATCACAAGACACTTCATGTTTGTGTTTTAACATGTTTTTCTTTTTTTAACTACGTGACATTTGTCGAATTACATACAATTGAAATCAATTTATTAAAAAATTTATTCACTTCTTTTCTTGATCTTAAAACCTTTCAATTGGATATCCACCAACCAGTTCAAACTTTTTTGACCCTTTAGCAACTGCAGACTCGCCAAAGCTTCTCGCGTACCAAAATCCGTCTCACGCATCATGATTTCGTCAATTAAATACTTCCTGCGATATAACCTGCCATAATTCTCTTTTTCCCATTCGTGCCCATACACGCGAATTAACTGTTGAATCGAGGGCATACCATGCAATCCATAATACCACTCATTATATATTGAATACACGCTAGAATGGGTGCCTAGAGACGGCAGGATATAATACGGAATAGAAGGGTCGATCGATTTATCTCGATCGATGTAACCTTCGCGTGGACGTTTTATCATGTTTCGTGTGGTATTCTTTAGCAATCCTCGTTTTTGTTTAATTGAAAATGGTCCGGGTTTATATGTTTTTCTTTTTGGTTTCTTGCTTTCGGTTTTGTCTTCAGGAGAATGTTCATTGGATGAATGCGCTTTGATTTCGGGATTAATTTCGGTTGAAATGAGATTTTGACGTTTATTGTTAAGAGCTGCCAAACTCATGATAGCGAGATCGAATTCATTCGATTCAAAAAAGCTGATAGTGCTGTCACTATCATCGCTAGTTGGGCTTTCAGTACTATCATCATCATCTTGATTACTATAAAAATCTTTTTCTTCTTTTTCAATGGGATTATTGTTCGACATTTTTGATTTCAATAGAATGAAACTTTCCCAAAATTGCATGTATTTACATGTGTAACCTATTTATCAAAGCTTATCGGTAATGATAAAAATTTATTAATCAAAATTTGATCAGCTTGACATATTCCTTGAAATGTCACTAAATTACACGAATATGGTGTCATTGAAGATAAGTTAACATTTTGTAAAACATGATAACGATAACATTCTGCGAAGCACACGTGATGTTTATATGCACTTAGATGCATGAAGTTATGCACATGTGATGGGATAACCACAAACATTATATATTAAAAGCGGGAATCTGAGGACGATCCCACTTGCACATGTATGTATGGGCTGTAATCAATTTTGATTTCTATAAAGGACTGCCTAATCATACATTAATGCATTTCATTACGTACCGCGTACTGTCATTTACGCAAAACCTGTATAGAAACAACACATAAATAAAATCCACGACATTCTGCACATACACACATTCATTCTTGTACACACAATGAGCGACACTCCACCCGAAATTCTTCAAGAAATTTTTCAGAGGCTTGTCGAGAGAACCGACGACCTTTACTCTTTGTTATTTGTAAATCGTCATTGGTGTGCAAATGCTATTGTGGCGTTATGGCGAAGTCCATTCTATTATGCTAAATCACAAAGAAAGGTAATTGATACCTATCTTTTGTGCTTGCCAAAGAAATCACTACGAAGACTTGGCTTGGAGCATGTTATAAGAGATCAAAATCCGCTGTTTAATTATCCGGCGTATTTGAAGTCATTTTCGATTAAGGATATTTTTTGCGCAGTTGAAGATTGGTATGTGTCTGCATATTCGAAGATTTGGCGAAGATCAGGTAAATTCTTGATTTTCATTCATCTCTTTAAAAATTGATACAAATAATTTGTTAACACATTCGGGAAAAATAGATAATATACAAAGTAATCTTCAAATTGAGGATCTTTGGCTTCATGAATATCAAATAGTCACAGAAATATGCAATCTTATAGCAAACAAATCCATTGCACTTGAATCTTTTTCAATTGACATTTTAGATTTGGAAATAGCAGAAATATTATCAGGATATGATATCGAGTTTTGGAAGGAGATTGAAGCACGTCATCAAATTACTTTCAACTTAACTTTATCCAATGAAATCACTTATCCATGCGAATTTGATATCGAAAATATGGAGATAATACAAGACGTAATCACGTCATTATTAAAGAATGCTACACATTTATTGAAAAAAATCCGAAGATTCGAGTGTGGAGGAAGTTTATTATTTGAAGCACCGGAATTGCTGAAAATGATTTCAAGCATTGCTACAAATATCGAAACCTTTATTGTAAGTGCTCCGGAAGAAAACGAACATTTAGAACTGGCGGAAGAGGATATTATTAGGTTCATTCAAACGCAAAATCGCCTGCGCAAAATTAAATTTCGTGAATGGTGTTTTGAAACTTGTGATGTGGCAGAGTGTTTATCGGTGCGACATGCAACACTAAGAGAATTAGAGTTTCACGGGTGTACATTTTTTAGAAATGACGCGCTAAAAGGGTTACATTTGTGCACTGGTCTAGAAAGTTTAAAATTCATTGATGTTGCTGGTGTGACATCAAATGTACTGGACACAATATCAAACACCATATTTCCAAATCTGAAACACTTGACATTCAGTCAACATTACACATGCATTGACGAGGATGAAGAATACCCTTCAGTACAACTCATAAGTATTATAGCAAACAATTCCAAATTTTTACATTCACTTTGTCTAACGCAAATACAATTCGAGTGGTACACCGGGGTACTACCAACACTCACACAATGCAAAAATCTACGAAAATTACAACTCCAAATTGAGAAATATGAAGAGTTTCTTGTGTTCTATGAAGTGTTGAACGCATGTAAGAATTTACGCAGTCTCGAAATACTCGGAGAAGTCTCACCTAGAGAACAACAACAGTGGCCTCTTACGAACGGCAATGAAGTGTTTGTAGAAATGGCACAGCATATTCCATCCAGTTTGGAATATTTACTCATTTCTTTGAGTTTTCTTTATTCACCAACGGAATTTGCAACGTTTTTGGAATATTTAAAGCATATGCCGCGACGTATTATTCTTGAGGTGAAAATGTTCGAGTATTGGTTTCTTCAGACGATGTTGAAGTATGCGAATAATGCTGGCCGAAAAGTAATTGATAGTCGGATTGAGGAGAGTCCTAGATCGTCAAAACTCAAAAGGGTTTCTATAAAACTAGATAAAAGAAATGCTTAATGTACAAACTTTTTTCAATGTAGATAAATATAGAACTTGTATCCTGTTTACAAATTTATAACTAGTGCAAAATAATCCAATAGAAAGAATTTCTTTAAAAATACGAGTCAATTAGACGAGGCGTAGTTTTTTTTAAGTTCAACGGAAATCAAGTTCAAGCAGGCATTGGTGCCTTGTTTTGTTAATATGTAAAGAAAAACAAACTGAATCAATTAATTTTATAACCAAATAAATCAAATCTCTTTGTTACGTTTATGCGTTTATTGTTATTTAAGTTCTAATTATGTACACTCACTGGACAAAAGTTTGGAATCGGGAAATGATCAGTAATGTAGGTCACGAATTTTGATATGACTTTTAATCAATATTTCTCAACTTCTCTTTAAATAAACTACGATAAAAAAT